TTAAATCAACTTGAGTTCACGAGCGTTTCTTATCAGCTCAACTGGTAATCTCTACTCCAGCTAGTAATCATTGCCTATAATTGGAATAATCTTGCCTAAGCAGTAAACATTTACCCAATTTATCAGAAAGGAATTACGACTTCAGATGCTTCATAGGAAATTGTTAGGCATGCTTATTATTCGATGTTTTCATTGTATGCGTTGGTGGGTTCGCAATGAATGATTTTACTCCCAATTTACCTGAACAACAGTCGATGACTGACACACAGATAATCTCATGTGTACAAATGCCCGTAAGACATGTTCGATGGCATCAGCATCCTTCACGTTCCCTAGGTTCACTCCTAAAGGAATTTGTGCTAATTACCATGAACCATAGTGGCAAATATTACATGAAAATACAGTAATTATGATATTCGCAGAAAATAGCATGTAAAGTCTGCGGTAAAATTTGTGTTGGCAACGCTATTGGTTCAGTCATAGTTGATTAGGTTATGAACGCCCCACATCTTAGGTTCAGTGATGCATGAAATGATGTGTGTTGGGAAGATCCATGTGCGGTTCTGATAGCCGTTCAGCCGCGACCATCAAGGAGGCTCTTCTTCCGTGTACGGCCAAGCGGAAGAAAAAAAGCTCTCGCAAAAATTGACCCGTTATGCTGGACTCGTTACGCAATAATATCCTGTAAAACGTCAAACTCGTCTGATGTACACAAGACGACATTGAACCGACCAGCTTAATGATGGCAACCTGCAATGATGCAGACGATTTTTAAAGTCATTTCCGCTTCGGTGAACGTTCAAAGAAGGTAATAAATTTGCGAAGTAATTAAATACCATCGATGTTCATCCAAAACATTTTCTCACTTTTTTTACAGGATAGTATGGAGACCTGCTGATTTACGAAAAAATCATGGGTTGAATTACTACAACAGTAACAACTCATTTAGTAAATGACTTCTTATGAAACACAATGAGCATTCGAAACAACCCTAGTAGTGGAGTGGCAGGAGGTAAATTTATCATATTTATTCGGATTTTCCATCAATTCCGCTGTGTTTGAAAGCACATTGGCGTTGCATTCAACTCAGTTTATCAACGTTGAGTTTGCTCAGAGGAAAGCTCCTCGCATGTACAGCGCCGGTCTGGCCGATATTGTGCAGAAGCTTGCAGATCGCAATTACCATCGATTCTTCCCTAGCGGGAGAAGAAAGTTGTTTGTCCAGAAACTTTTCTCGGAATTTCTACTCACGAAGCCTGCAAGCGTGACCGACCGACTGTTATGTTGCAGGCAAACACAATGCTTGACTGTAGCTTGCAGAAATTTTTGAAGTTGTTGCTTCTACATGAGAATTAAAATACTCAACCCAACATGAAGTTAATTTAGTGATGCATGATTTTTGTAATTGATGCTGTGAACTAAAATGAACAGTCTCTCGTATCGTTTTGTTCCACACGAGAATTCCTGCAACACGAGAATAAATAATTTCATGTCGAAATTAATTTATGAGCAAAAGCTGTGCAATAATCGTAAAACGTTTTGTATTTTTATGATTCCTGTCAGGCACTTACCAATATCTATGAATCTTATCGCGACTGTAAATCTTTCAAATGTGGATAGAGGTGATATTTACGAGAAGTATCATTTTAGTAATGTTTTTATGAAACAATGCTAGCTCTTCATTTTATTGCGGATCAAATTAAATGTTCAGAAATATGAAAGAAGCAAATCCATCCAAATAGCAACGTGCGAAGGAAAAAATATATCTAATAATCTTTATGGCATTGCCTCTAACTGAAATGCAGTGTGTCTCTCGTCAGAATTTTATTTCCCGGCATAAATCAGCATGAGTATTCTGGTATTCCTTAATTAGAGGTCTGGGGATTTTTATGCATGGGTTCTTAACTGCTTCCTGATACCAACAAGGAGGCTAACGCGAGCATGTCCGTGCTGCGGGCCATCTTGCTGGTCTATTTTGAGAGGCCGGATTGCGGAAGGACATCGAGTGACCTAGCGGACCAAGTTAGGAGTGTCTAGCACGGTAGCTAGGATGCGCTCAAGGTGGCCGCTTTTTCGGCCTTAGGTCTAACGACGACCTCTTCAAAAGGCAAGGTTGTCCTACACAGGCGGCCGCATGACAATAATCCTTCGGTCTAACGACGACCTCAAGAAGCAAGATTGTCTCACGCATGCTTCAGTCTGACAAATCACGTTGCGGATCACGCGCGTCCTATGAATGCGATGCTGCTTATATCGTCGTTTAGGATATCAAACGTGTTGGACCTATGTTTTGTTCGATTACGAATAAACATAGACACCGCTGTAAAAATTCACGATCATCAAGTCTAACGACTATTAATTAGACAATTCACTGCAGACGAAAGTTACACATATGACAGGATCACTATTACATGATACGTATTATAAACATGAGATTGATAAGTATGATCTTTGGCAGCCAGAGTGTTACGCTTGTAATTGAAAATTGCATCGTTGAACACAGAGCTTAGCATACATGCCACTTTACTTCACACACGAAGAGAAGCTAAAGTATTGTCAAGTAAGCATAACTGAAATTTTAATATTGATGTGGATGACATGTCTTGGTTAGGGTATGCTGCAAGTGGTCCCTTAGCAGGAGGTACGAAATGTGTCATTTACGCAGCTTAAGTAGGCACAAAATTGCGATTCATGGACGACTAATAACTGTATTGGAGTTTTAGGTAAGCTTGAAGCTCAAGTGCTCGAATTTTTTTATGTTTGAAAATGTATCATATTTAGGTAGGGTCCACAGGAAGATGATGAGCCCAATGGAACCTCGTGAACATCTAAAATAATTCCGCATTAATACTTGCTATTTGATAAGCCAGACGGGCCTATATGGATTATACGTTCCTTCGTAAGTCTTTTTGCTGAGGAGCTTAAAAGTTCCACCATAACTTCTGAGAAGAAATATTCCACGAGAAAGTTTGGTCACAGTCTACATCATCAAGGTTTACATTGTCTACTTCTGTGACAATTTATACCACAAATTTATACATTCTATTGAAGGATTATGTACGTTAGGATCAATTGTACAAATATGTAATTTGAAATATGGATCTCATTTCTGAAGATTCCATTGTTAGTAATGATCATAATGATAATAATATAATAATAATTTTTAATAGAGGTGTCGAAGATGTTGATGTCGGTCGCCGATTCTGGACATTAAAAGAGTTTTCACAGCTTGGTGCGAGTGCCAAACTCGCAATTCACTGCCTCAATATCCATTTAACTTAACCGACTGTCCACCTCGCTGAATTTAACCAAATTTTTTTACGATTTTCTTCTGGTTTTGAAGCCTCAGCTCACTGCCCCAATTTAGATGCTCTGAACTTTAACCACTCAGCGTCGCAAATATAATAATGTAATTATAAAAACTTTCTGTACAGTGTGAGGAAGAAATATGAACAATCCAAATGATGTAAGACTTCAGCAACGTGAAATGACAATATAGTTCTACGTTAAGATAACAGCAAACGAATGATGTATGCGAGTTTCTGTCAACAGCGGAAATGGTTATTCAGATTGTACACCGGAAGGGCAAGATATGGCCAACAGCTCCACACTCGTGCCCCGGTCGACTGTTGAAATTTCTCTCCATCTCAACTGCTTACTTCACGAGCGTAAAGTATCAGGAAATATTGAAAAGTGTTATACTTCCAGATGTGGGAGAAATGCTTGCAAAGCCTATTCTAAAATGTGATCTTGTCAAAGCCTTGACGTCGACGGGAGGCAAAGTTTTAAACACACTCATAATTTTTAAAGGATAAGTTAAGTTTTTGTGTTTTTGTCAGGTGTGCAACATATAGCATCAAAACAAAATTGCCGAAATTTGTTCGATGGAAGAAATTTGATAGGTGACATATACGCATTTATACCTGATCATCGTGTAGCCTGAAATTACAGGTAATAAATTTGTCCAATTGTAAGAATAAGCTTCATACATAAGAAAAAACAAACGCCGTTTTGAAAGGCGACATACATGTACAGCTGGACGATAAATGTTTAAGATTGAAAAACCCCGGCAGTATATTGTAAACGAGAAGTAGCATAGCTCTGTTATATGGTATATTCTTGAAAATTCAAAAGTTTTTATTATTGGTGACATTTTATCAAGTATAGAAGAACAGATCTATTCTCAACTTTCGCAAGTCCATATGCTATATTTCCGTCTCATTCCTCGTTGAGTTTTGACTTTGCGCGCCATAAGTGACAAATTGTTTGTACATCTATAGATGAGTAAATTATCACTTCTCCGGTAGAGGCATGTAACGAGTTACATGCTTGTATTAAATATTACGTTTTTGAGGTGATCGCAAGATGAACAGAGTTGTTCTGAGTCCGAAAGTTGATGTAAAGATGCCTTGTCATTACATTTCATTGCACGGTAGTCGTCCAATGAGTGACAGGGTATGAGGTGCATGCGTGTGAAGGCAATGCTTGAGTCAACGATGAATTGGTTGATCTAAGCATTAATCATAAATAATTGATGCATGAACGAGGTTAATCTATGCCTAACTAAAATTGATCAATTGTAACAATTGAAACCGAGCTTTGCCGATACTCTAGAGATTAAACGATTGAATTAATTACAGTAAAAAAGTTTGTTTAACACTATATTTAAGCTATAACCTCCTAAGAATTTCTGTAAAACAAGAATATCCACAGCACGTCGCGCATTACACTGGTACAATGGACAGTTTCTAACGGCCAGAAGCAAACGGCTGTTGAGATTAGATTCTAGCGTCGTGATCGCCTTTTTTTGCTGTTTCTTCATGTTTTCGAGAAGACGATCTCAGCCATGTACGGCAGTGTATTTCTTTATCATATCTCAACAATAACTGATGCACAGTGTAAATTTCAAACAGATATAACAATAAATAGATAAAAGATTAGACGACGGAAGACTAAACGTGTTGCCTGTCGACGAGGTTATAAAGGCCGAGCCGTGCGCTGTCTAGCTCAGTCCTTGTTTGACCTCAGCTGTGAGAGTATTTCCCCATTTGAGTGCACTCGGCCACAGAAGCATCTACAAAGTGAGCATTTATAGACTACAGTGTTTCTATTCGTCTACTGTAATTAGCAGGTTACATTGCCATTTTCCATATATAATGATTAACACTCGAAAACCCTAATTTCTTTGCTATTTTTGGGTTTCCTTGTGGATATCTCAAGTTCATAATTTTCACGCCGTCTCCTAATTTATATATAATCTTTTAAACTTTAACTGGAGCTTTGAAAAAACCATTGCTCTTCCTACTTACGTAGGCGAGTAGGTAGGCGCTTGTTGTTGATTCAAAGCACCAGCGATTCAAAACACCAGCTGATGCATTCTAGTTGTTCGGTGATTTTAAAGATTCCCAAATAGCTAGTAGGTACTCTGAACCGTTATTTGACGCTAAAGTCTATGACATAATAAATTTAAATTAATTTTGAAATCGTTAATTGTTTTTTCCGCCTTAGTTGTGACCAGGCAGACTAACTAATTCCCGGTTTCGAATTGCATTCTGACAAGAAATTTTAACCTTTTCTATTAAACGTAGTGAAATGCCAGAAAATATTATCTTGAGAAATTTGAGCTAGACCGTTGAAAGATATCTTTAATTCTAGGATTGAAATTAGGGATTTTTTTATTTATTTTTCTATACCTATGTCTATGTGACTCCGTTAATTTTCCTGTGTCTAGGCTGATGATTAAATCTTCAATAAAACAATCATTAGCATATGTAGGCTATGTATGATTAAATCTATGGATTATGCGTGGAAATATGGAATAGTAAGATGTGGCTAGTAAACCTGTTATAATTTCGGCGCTCATTGCTGAGACCCGGCATACTGAAGTGTGATCCATGGTGGTGTGGCGTCTAGGATTAGGAGGAGTCTTTGGGGACTAACGTTCTCTCCAGGCATGTTCGATCGATGCGGTGTGGCGGGGCGAGGGTGTAGAGGCGTTGGCTGCAGATCAATATTTCGCGCAGTGGAGTAGGTTTAGCCTGGCGCAGCGCAGGACGCACTGGTGTTGAAGATGCGCAATATTAGGACTAGCACAAGATCAATTTGTATGTTGAAGATAAAACTTCCTACCTAATTGCTATCTAGTTTGAGGACTAGATTTCTTTGCACGTTGGTTTTTCTTCTTATTTTATATTGTATGTACATTTACATTAGGTTCTCGAGTTAAGAGTTCAATATTCGTTTATTATGATTCGGTATTCTTCCGAACCGAATTTACTAAAAGTTTGCAACAGATAATTTATATATTTTTCATTTACCTAACAAATTTATTATTTCCAATGCGTGTTGACAGACGAGGCGTCAGGCGTGGCGTGTGAACAAAATTCTCTTTCAAATGTTGTTTATAAATTGCTTAGAAAATATACGACCAACTCTAAATAAACCGAGCGCGCTCTTTATTTATATAACCGCATTAGTTTCGTAAATAATTAAGCAATCTGAGAGCTTTCGAGATGTCAATTACATTGTGATTGCACACACAACTCCGCTTCCATGCTCTGATAATACCAACGGCGCGACGTTATACAGTGGCATGTTTGACTGAGTGCTGCGAGGTACAGACTACAGAGGCGAGTCGTTGGCTGTTATGCAAGGAGTTGCACGACCTGAATTCATATCGTGCAACGTCACCTTTCCATTCCTGTCGTGATGGAGCTTTCTTCTTTATCACGCCAGCTTCGAACCCTAATTGCACATGTGCAATAACCCATTGCATATATATATCAATAAAACCCATTGTACTAGAAATTGCATTTTACTCCATTAAGAATGATGTTGCTGGCGAATGCTTGGAGGTTGACTTATGAACGGCTAAACGTCAATGCATTTGGTTTTGCTACCGATACTGGAATCCCAAATGGCTGCAAAAGACACATATTCCTAATTGCCAGGAGGCATTTGGCCTCTGCTTCTATCATGTTTTGATTACTCACTTTGTTCCCCCCACAATCATATTACCTAATGACGTTCGCCGGGGCATTCCGCGACTGAAGCGTTTGCATATCGTGCCATCTTTTGTCCAAGGTTTGCATGGGTCGATAGAACAATTCCATCTCAAGTCGAGCGTGCAGTCATCAAGTGTAACTGTTAAGGGAAAATTACCCAGCAGCTGTCACCATCGGCTGCCGGTCATCATATTGAGAACAGCTGGAACAGATGGTGACGATGTGGTGGCTTACGAAAGTGGGTTACAGACACGCAGACTTCCAAGGGCTTTTCTTGCGCTCGTTCTCACTAATTTTCACAACATTAATCTTCTGCGAAGATATTCCCTTCGAGTCATAGCAAACTTTCTGCTTTTTAATTCATTTTATTCATTTTATGGCTTTCACTTAATATGCAACATTTTTAATTTTTAACATTACCATTTGGCAAGAGAGGTATTTGCCCAAGCAAAACAGCTGTTTGGATCGCTCGATGACCCTGAATCGTAGGAAGCATTGTCGCTAAGCTACGAGGAAATGACCTTTGCGAATGTGAGAGGTACACAATTTTGGCAATGCGACAACGATGCCAGATGGTCATACTCACTTTTTACTTGGGTTTGACATTCAAATTTTACTTACTTGTTTTATAATTAGTATTGAGTCTGATGAATCATAGCTATGAACTAATCTAAATAGGAAAAATACTTCTAATGATTTTGGTTATTATTTGTTAGTTATTTCGTTTCAATCTAGACTCTAATTACAATTTTTTCGCAATGCAACTAGGTTGTTGTAGCTGCTAACATTTCGTTTTTTTATACTTCATCTGCACTTGAATGACAGATTTTCACAAGTATTTTCTTTCGTTGCAGATCCAAAATGTGTGACGAAGAAGTTGCTGCCCTCGTCGTTGACAATGGCTCCGGCATGTGCAAATCTGGCTTCGCCGGTGACGACGCTCCTCGAGCTGTCTTCCCCTCCATCGTCGGTCGTCCCCGTCATCAGGTAAATACATACCTTCGATTTGTACGAGCAGACTTCAGAAGCTTATTGAAATTGATATCATGTTCATCGATTCTATTAGTGTCAAATTTTGATGCATAGCGCAATCAATTTTGTTCTGGTATTACGATGAACTTTTTCTTGCAGGGTGTGATGGTGGGTATGGGCCAGAAGGACTCGTACGTGGGAGACGAGGCTCAGAGCAAGCGAGGTATCCTCACCCTCAAGTACCCCATCGAGCACGGTATCGTCACTAACTGGGATGATATGGAGAAGATATGGCATCACACTTTCTACAATGAGCTCCGTGTTGCCCCCGAGGAACACCCAGTTCTCTTGACTGAGGCTCCTCTTAACCCCAAGGCTAACCGTGAGAAGATGACCCAGATTATGTTTGAGACCTTCAACACCCCCGCCATGTACGTCGCCATCCAGGCTGTGCTCTCCCTGTACGCCTCTGGCCGTACCACCGGTATTGTGCTTGACTCCGGTGATGGTGTCTCCCACACCGTGCCCATCTATGAAGGTTATGCTCTCCCTCACGCCATCCTCCGTCTCGACTTGGCTGGTCGTGATCTTACCGATTACCTCATGAAGATTCTCACCGAGCGTGGCTACACTTTCACTACCACCGCCGAGAGAGAAATTGTCCGCGACATCAAGGAAAAGCTTTGCTATGTTGCCTTGGATTTCGAACAGGAAATGACCACTGCTGCCTCTTCATCCTCCCTGGAGAAGTCCTACGAGCTTCCTGACGGTCAGGTCATCACCATCGGTAATGAGAGATTCCGTTGCCCCGAGGCTCTCTTCCAGCCATCTTTCCTTGGTATGGAATCTTGCGGTCTTCACGAGACAACCTACAACTCCATCATGAAGTGCGATGTCGATATTCGTAAGGACTTGTACGCCAACACTGTTCTCTCCGGCGGCACCACCATGTACCCTGGTATTGCTGACCGCATGCAGAAGGAAATCACTGCTCTTGCTCCCTCGACCATGAAAATCAAGATCATTGCTCCCCCTGAGCGCAAATACTCCGTATGGATCGGTGGCTCAATCCTTGCCTCCCTCTCCACCTTCCAGCAGATGTGGATCAGCAAACAAGAATATGACGAGTCTGGCCCCTCAATCGTCCACAGAAAGTGCTTCTAAATCCCTTCGAACCCTTCTCTCCCTCGTGATTTCCGTACTTTCTCGTATTACTTTTCACTGCTACCGAAGTTGTGATTTATGTCGTGTACGTAAGAAGAGTATTTAATAAATTATGTCATAAGTAATTTGAAACGATTTTATTACCGTGTTTCACTTTGTTTCCGATTGCTTGGAGCCCTCAGACAGGCTGACTGCTTCCTACGGCATTCTTGGACATATCGAGTTCCCCATAGTTCCACTTGTAAATGGTCGACTTTCCAACTGAAATTCAGCTGTTCATTGGAAATTGGGCAACATGATTTTAACTACGAAAGAAAATTTCAGCAATCGTGTAAATAAATTAGATACTTGATACTTGAACTTAAATTAGATAATTGTTTACGTGGATTTGTTTTATTCATTCTACAGATCTGAAAATAAATATTCCTGTCTTCCTAATTGGTAAATACATCTCGGATAAAACCTGATTAAAAACAATCTAACCCCTAAAATGTACTGAAAATTCTTATGACTAAAGAAGGGTGATAGAATGTTATATGAATTGCTACAACATTTCTCCTTCGAAGTGATTTTGAGAGAATTGTTCAAATTGTTTACGTAGAATGATCGGCACACATGATTCATAAATCATCCGTTTTAACTAGCGTAGCGACGGAAATCTTGCATTACTGATAAAGAGATCGGGGGCAGACAGCAAACGGTTCAACTCAGAAGTGAACGTGATTTTACAACGCGGTGCCGCTCGCGAACTTCGAAGTTCTTTGAGGATCTCCATTAGTTGTATTTGCTTCCGAGATTCACGGTCAAGTTTGATATAACGCTGGGCATTATTGAGAATTTCATCGGCCAAAAGTTCTCAACTCTAAAGTACTTCAGGATTTCCCATAACTTGACATGTTTACCGGGAAATGGGCTTACCTTGGGGTCCAGTAAACATGAATAGGTGTAAGAAAATGCAAACAATTGCTATGAGAAAATATTTATTATCATTGATGCGATATGGAGGGAAACCGTCCACCGTTTATAATGGTGTTTACATACCAGCCATATCAATGTTGATACTTTAGTAGGTCATGTTTGACTTGTATCACATTATAGAATGCTGATGGCTACAAGACCATCACCTCGAAAATCACAATTGGAAAATGATTTAGCTCTTGAACACACCAGGCTGTTGCAATCGCTTAGAAATAAAAATGTTAGTGGCAGACAAACTTCGCCATTCGCTCAAGCGAGTAACGAAGTTTACAAATTTCGTAACTCGGTAAAAAAACTGCAAAATGCCAGATGTAAAAATTCATTTCCAATGCTCCTGATACAAATGGCTCATAACCTTGATAAAATTAGTTAAAAAACTCCATGCCGGGGAAGAAGAGAACACCTCCTGGGAAAACGAACTAAATACTCGAGTTGAGAAAAAATACTTGTTTTAGTGAATGAAGTAGCGAGGGCAAACACAACGAAGAAAATAGCTCATTGTGAAGGTGGGGGACAGTTGGTCTTACTTATTAAGGAGACAGTTGGTCTTACTTATTAAGGAGACAGTTGGTCTTACTTATTAAGGAGACAGTTGGTCTTGCTTATTAAGGAGACAGTTGGTCTTACTTATTAAGGAGACAGTTGGTCTTGCTTATTAAGGAGACAGTTGTTGGTCTTACTTATTAAGGAGACAGTTGGTCTTACTTATTAAGGAGACAGTTGGTCTTGCTTATTAAGGAGACAGTTGGTCTTACTTATTAAGGAGACAGTTGGTCTTGCTTATTAAGGAGACAGTTGGTCTTACATCGCCAGGGTTAATAGAATAAATTGAAAACGGATACTTAATAATTTTTTTTCAAATGCGAATAAAAAGCTTACGATTAGACGTCAGCTAGAGACTATTGAGTTGCATAACCATGCAGGGAGGTTCGATCATTGCACAATAATTCACTGACCATCTATAAGAGCAGCCCAGAGCTTAGGCAGCGCAGCATTAAACACTCCTGATAAATCGATGTCATTAATAACAGTTTAAAATGTGAAGAAAAACAAACAGAAAATCCTCGACCGTAAATGCTTAAAGCTAATACTAATAAAACACTGTTAAATAATTTACTAAGTTATAAATCAATTATGTTAGGTACGGTAGTTATTAAAAACGAATGAAATGCAAGCTGAATAATCAGACGGGTAAGCTCACGACTCTATCAACAATGTAATCTCAATAGTATCCATGATTTTATCATATGCGTTATTTAACATTATTTATGATTTATAAATACCTTATCAGACATAATCTATGATTTATCACCATATGCGTTAAATATACAGTATTTTTTATTCAGAAATACGTAATCTATGAAGATTTATGATTCATCTTAAGCGTACTCTAACATTACTTATGATATTTAGTACGAACAACACGACATAAGCAATGACGAGAAGATAATGTTCCGTATTGGTAGGCTTACAATTTATTCTCGAATGATCTCAAGTCTGAATTACTGACACTGTAATCATCCATCAGGATCTGGCGTTGGATCCTGTTGTGTAGTTCGTAACTAAACTCACGCCCACGGCGTAAGTAATAAATAGAAAGTAAGTAATAAATAGAATAAATCACTAGCTTAATAGTTATAATGAGTACAAATAGTAGGTAGCAAATGAAATGAGAATCTAAACATAAAAGAAGGAGACAGGCTTTCCTGTTGTTCTTTGCTCTTGAGATATCACGTAGTTATTGCCGCGTCCCGTTGCCCGTAGCACGTTTACGTCACTGTCCGTAGTGAGCCTCCAGCGACCCGTAGGATCTAATCGTGACGGTCCTCGTTGCTCTCCTGCTGTCCGTAGTAACGTCGCTCGCCCGTCACCAACTGATAGTGACGACGCCCGTCCAGATACATCATCGCTTCTGTAACATAACAATCACAATAAACTGTGTAACTACAAACTCTCAATACAAAAACAAATAATTTTTATCAACTGAACAAACGACTGAGATCGAATAAAACCTCTATGACTGATACAAGAAATTATAAACAATAATATGAGTCTTATTTGTGTACAATCCTGTCAATCCTTCTTTGACATGGGCTAGTAAAAAAAATTGCATTATAAGGTATAACGAGCCATTGAAATGCAGGGACCTTACTTCGCCTTCCTCAGACGCTGATTGCGGCGGTTGTATTAAAAGGGTAACTAACCATCACCGCAAATGTGAGACTAGATAACCCTCATTTGCTGTCTCTCAAACAAGTTCCAATGAGCGACTGTGACCCTGACCATGATAGGTGCAGGGCAGCACGGGCGGCACGGCGGAGTCTGCAGCGAAGGTGAAGTGGAAGATGTTGGTGAGGCTGAGCGTCTGGGTCACAGGGTCCATCATGCTGGCCTTGGTGCTCACCTGCATGTGCTCACCGTCAGTGTACACCACCTGTACAAACATCACAGAGAATTTTAAATTTCAAAATCAAAACATTGTGATACAGCATAATTTAGCTTTCAATTCAATGATCCTGTCGATTTCCAGGCATTCTTAGCATTTTGAAATAGACGCGCAAACACGAGACTGCACGAGTGTTCTTGCAGCGGCTTTACTTTAACGTCAGCCAGTCACATACTGCTTTCCAAGCTAAACCATCAATTACAAATGATAAATCTTCCGATACGTGCGACCGATTAAATGTAAATCATAAGTGATAAATCGGCCGCTAAACCCGCTACGTGTACGCAGGCAGTTAAGTTAATTTATAAAGTCTGGCTTCTGGATGTCAGGAATGTACTCGAATTGACACTTTGATTGCGGGACTCGCCTGAGCGTTGAGGTAGAGCAACGACCCGACCTCCACCGGCCGCGTGAACACCACGTCGTCTATGTGGCTAATAGTGCACCGCTGTCCGCTGCAAAATGAAATAATCATTATAATGACTATTCTTAATAGGTATCAACGACATGCATTGCTGGTGGACAGACTTGTTGGAAGGAAAGTTGTAATACAATTGGTTAGGTGAGGTCTAATTTGGTTGGCGGCCTCAAATTGAACGTGAAAAAGTTGGGAGAAAGGAATGATATTGAAAATTACATGAAAAATAATATACAAATCTATAATAAGCCTTGCGCATCTTTACGAAGTCGCCCTCCACTAATGACAAACCTGTGAACCAAAGCGCTGGTCCAGGCGAGCTCGATGGCCTTGCGCATGATGAAGCCACCGAAGACTTTACCGAACCTGTTCCGGTGCTGCAAACAAAATTACGTCACTGAGCATGCTTGTATTAAAGTTAAACTCAGACTTATTATTTTATTCTTATAAAAAAAAATTTGGTCAAACAGATAATGAAAGGATTAAGGATACTCGTAAATTGTAAAGTTTCAGCTTTTAGACTCGAGAACTCCAAAACGTTGAATATTTCTATACAAATGATGACATAATATAATTGATGCAGCTCTTATTCTATTTGCATTATTAACAGATATGTTATGGACAACTCCAAACCGTGTTGTCTTTACTGCCGACAACGCGGGTTTGGCCATATGTCACATGCCACATCACCTGTACCATGGGCAATGGAAGGTGTTCTCTGGAAGGTGTATTCCCTTCTTCCTTATTGCTAAATCTTTTTTGCAAGTTTTCTTTTAGTAGTGCTTCTCATTTACCAAGTGCTTCTGCCTAACTCATATTCGCACCTTTGCTTGATCTGTTCCGACCTGATGACGTTACGGCTTCCAGGAATTCGAGACAAGGTTTTTGACTCGCAAGAGAATTCCAGATCTGCCTGCCTCCCGCTACTACATTGTTGACTGGATTTGCACCGCCTGCAGCTAAGAAAACTCTCCTTTGTATACTAGAGTTCTGTGAACGGTGGAAGTCGTTTACTGTCAACCGCGTTCATTTTATTAAAGTGCATTTATTTTTTGCACATACCTGAGGTGTAATTGTACAGCGACATCTGCAGTAATCATATCAGTAACATTTGAGTTCAATCTCACCGCAATGGTAATGATGTTGTGAGAGGTCATATCTGAGCGGCGGTGAGTCGGTTAGTCAGTTGTGTCCCGCCAGCCCTGCAGTGAGGTAACCACCTAAGCTCACTTCGCTTTGCTTTACTGACTCTAGCGATTTTTTACCCTAACGTGATGTCGTGTGGCTGTTCTTTAGAAGCTTTATCAAACAGTGTAATGATCATGAACGTCTGTTTGCTGGTTCTGAAATTTTAACCTTCACTTTTTTTAAATATTCTCCGTTGACGTCCCCGGAAACTCGTCCGCTTAGGATATGAACGACCCAACCGTCCGTCGTCACAAGTGTCAGAGCCTTTGATGTTCCTAGTACCTTACCCATCTCTTCTAATATCCGTTTAAACGACCTCCATCCCGGGCATATCTGACAAACTCCCTAGTTATCTCCAACGCCAAGACCTGAAAACCCAGAGACTATTGCTCCTCTTACGGTCCCATCTCTCTCATTTGAGATATTTCCACTCTTCCAAATCGCAGACTCCCTCGCCTCGTCGCAATACGGCTTCAAACCAATCTCGCACCGGAAAAAGCCAGGCTTTGACAAAAGACGAACGTCTTCCTGCAGCGTGGCGATGCCATCGACTTATCACTGTCGTAAAATCCTGGAAGTCACATGAGATACAATTCCTTCTCCCCCTTACGTAAAGCCACTGCTATTAAGGCGGGTTAGACATTTTGAAGGTCTTTGCAGGCACCATATAGGGCTTCCCTAAGTAGGACATTACGGCCGCCTGCAGGATCATTTAGCATCCCAATTCTAAACTAAGCAGCCCCCATTTGATCCGCTGTTATCTCGCGTACCGCCGTTGCGAGACTGAAGACCATCTAAGCTCTGCCTTGAATCTTGCCACCGGCTTATGCTTATGGAGATGTAAAACGTTCCGTTCGTAGGAAAAATGTTTCCATAGCACCTTATCACCTACTATCGCTTCAAAGGAGACTTTAGGCTTCCCCTACCCTTCCGCTCAGCTCTTCTGCAGTCACGGTCGAACCACTGCAGCTCACTGGTATCCTCCACGTTTATGGTAAGGATCTGCCGAACCCAGATCCCCTAGTACCACTTGTCCTTAGTACGGAGACCTATTCTAGTCCACTTCCTGCCCTCAGTCTGAAGACCTTCTCCAGTCCACTTTACAAGTATATTGTAAATGCTTGCCTTACATTTCCCGTCGTCTCTTCACTGTGGGACAGTCTTTCTGACGGCCTCCCTCTTTGCATCCGCCAAAGTCTCTCTTCTCCGACTGCCCCCTCCCCACCTTTGCCACATAAACCGCTTTTCACAAGTGCTGGATCATCAGCACGCACAACAATGACATAGAAAACGCAAACTAGATGATTACGTTAAATCTATACTATCTAGGTTGTTAATTTAAAGATCTTTACCCTCTTAGTGCAGAAAGTTGAAACGATAACGTATCTTAATGCCCGATAAGTATGTGTAGGATCCTGGGATGTACATTCGAGCCAAGTCACAGAACAAATTTTTATCGTTGTACAATTTTTTCGGTTTTCACGCGACACAAACACGAAAGGAATTTTATTTTCCATCTTAAAATTTTTGCCTGGAGATATCATTAAAAGTAATCTTGATTTACCTCAGGATGACACATGATGATGTTCTTGATCTTTGTTTCGGAAATCCATCGTGATCCTTGGGGCTTTCTCTTGGGGGCGAACTCGTGCTGCTTGGGGTTCGACATGCTCAAGAAGAGCTCGTGAACCAGATTTTTTTCTGTAAAATATTATAGAAATGTAAGCCTTAAAATGATTGATGGTAAAAAATGTTGAGCAGGATAAGATTATAATATAATTGTCCCCTGACGTATGTTTTTATCACGTAGCATTCAATTATCTAGGTCGGAATATCTTTCATCTATTATTAACCATCACAACCACAGGAGAGTTTTCAATTTTCCATAAATTCAATTTCATCTAAAAGTTACGCGTGTCCAACAGTTGAGATGGCGACATAAGAGATCACAAATTTAAGCGAGAAGATCGCTCGTTAGCGTTATTCTATCCTATAACGACAGCTAATCAGCTTAGGCGAATAGTATTCCATAGCTGATATACTGACAAGTTTTAGGACCGTTCAATAATCATATCATGAATACATTTGTGATGCTGACGTCGGAAGATTGGTAAACAAACCTGTCTCGTTTGGAGGTTGCTTGAAGAGACTCTCCTCCTTGACAATCTTGCGGGAAAGTTTGTTAAGGACTCCTTGTTCGAATATCTTCTTTTCTTCCTCTGTGTTGGGCACAAGTTTGTTGATGATAGCAGCCCCTTGGTTCAGGGGGTCACGGGCCACAAACACGAAAACGGCAGTAGTCACCTGAATACAAAACAGAGATCGAATATGAACACGTCAGTCATAGACTGAACAGTAGAGCAGATGATCTTACATTCAAAAATCACCGGGCAGTCGTCACCTCCACAAAACATTGACTTGCCTAGAATGTAATACACACAAGTTGGTGGACATCTTCTTTTGGAACAGATAATATCGGTGCCGAAAACAAACGCATTGATCATCTCACATGGCGCACTGTGGTGAGCGAAACTATGTAAATTACCAGATTAATAGCACTACGAATAATTCTAGCTGATAGCTAAATACCTGACGGCTTTACTAATGACCATGTGAGTACAAATACAGAATTTTATTCAACTCGTGGTTACCTCTGATAGTGAACGCAGGCTAAATTGTATGCTGTAAAAAATGGCTAAATACCCGTATGACGGTATGCCGTTTGTTGCCGAATAATTCAAGCACGCATGAGAATTTTTTAGTAAAACCATATCGATGTTAATAGTTAGTTTCATAACATAAAAGACTTTCCACAATGCAAGAACAAATCTTACTTTTTTCCATGCCCCGTCTTGAAGCTGATCAACATGTACAATCTGGAAAAAATTAAACTGTCAGCAAACAGTTCAACAATCAACTAATTCAAAAAATTTTCTATTGTTTTCATAAGAAAAAACAAAATTTAAAGCATCACTGCCATTGAGCAGAAACTATTTAAGCCCTAGCAGCTTATTGCTACAATTAAATCAACGTTTGGTGTTGGCTACACTAGCAAATTAGCCCAACCCTGATCTTACAGACACCCAAAAGCCACGGCAAATGAATCCCTTGCAATTCTCACAGTTTCAATGGAAGAAGTGCCGGTCCAAGAGACGTGTCCTGAGATGCGGATGTCGTGGTTGGGGTCGAGCTTAACTCCTTTACAGAAGTCCATGCGGTCCATCATGCCTGTGACGATGATGTAGGGGCTGGGCAGGTCAGGGTGCTCCGCCTGCCTAGGGTTGTGCACGTGGCGGTAGCACAACCAAGCTAGTTGTGGTATGAAGAATGTCATCAGAACTTTTGATGCTTTTTTAGTACAACAATTAACAAAAAATATTCAATAATAAAAGCTATCAAAATTTAATTGTTGTATCATGACCATGGCTGAATAAAATATGAAAAACTTTTTTTACTAGACAAAAATCATACAGCATCAGATTAGAATACAGAATGCTCAGCTAACTATTTGAAATAGATTCATGCATATGCATACCTGAGAACACATCAAGATCCTCAAGTAGACGGCCAATTCTGACACCTTCATTGAAGGTAATATACTTTTCACGAAGGCATTTGTTGGTAGATAAAGGAATCACAGCACTGTCCCAGCTATCCTGCAATTTATTGCATCCTTGATCAATATAAAAACTAATATACATGTTCCTATAACGTAGAAACCAATCATTTCACATTTGGAAAAAAAGGTTCTAGGTGAATGTGCATCAACTGTATTTTGTGTTCATTGTTTAACTGTATTTAGTGTTGTATGCAATGGGATCTTCAGCAAATTACAATGGGTATACATCCAGTATAGACCAATGGAAACACAGATATGATATATGGTGAGATATCAGCAAATTAATTAGATAGTAGCATCTAAAACATTTTCATCTTATAGCTACTGACCGACATGGTTCGAGTAGGTAACTCATCTTGAGACTTTGGTAACAGCTTGAGTAGCTCAGTTCTGTCAACTGTGGCAGCTGAGTAGGTGGAAGATGCTCCTACCATGCATGTAAACTTGTCCACCACTACAACAAAACAGGAAATTAAGGGAAAGTTTGATTTTTACAGCATCAACTTCAAGAAATAGAAAGACTGAGATTTATTGGTGATGACTGCCAACATTCATAATAAAATACTGTATATCACAATTTTTTATTGATAAATGAAATAATTAACAGGCAGCAAGTTTATGTTGGTCAAGGGATGAAAAATTAGTGAAAAATTTACTTAATAAGTGTTCATTTTGTTTATCTCCATAAAAATAATTTTATTTCATGGTTCTTTACTATATATGTGTGTATCAAATCTTTCCACCTTGCTAATATTTATTCTTAGAGTTGCTACATAACTTATATCTGCTTAAAATAGTCAAATAAACAACTGTATTAGTTAAATAGTGAACAATTCAGAAACATGATACTTACTATCTCTGACAGTCTTTGTTGGCATTGCATTTTGGGCAGCAGCATCTCCTAAACTTGACCTCTGAATTATTACATGATTCCCAGGGAAGAGAAAACCATTCACAGAAAGTCCCCTAAAACAAAAAGTGAACCAATTATACAAAGTGAACAAGTTATACATATGCAAAATATAAATCTCTATATTAATGATGAGCAGCTGCCTGATTTGATCTTTTCAGTATGGCAAGGGAAACTAACACGAAGAATACTGTAGGATACAAGAATTCATATAGCATTAAAGTGGTACAAATTTTCAATGACTCAATCTAAAACTTACAAATTTAGATAATAAAGAAGTATGTTTGTGTTTAATTAGAGTATACATACCTTGTAGTGCATCCTAATGCTGCCTGAAATGATTTAAACAAATATCTGACTCTCATTTCAGTCTACTTTAAGAACTGGAGCAGACCTGTGGAGTGTGGACTGACAAAGTGCATTAGTTACAGCAGATTTCAGAACTATGGGATCTGTTATTTTTCTAGGTGTAAAATGTCAGACTTTAAATTGATCTTTACTGCAAACTTTGCAATGTGTTAGTATTTTTTAGCATCCTTCCTCACTAGTTGGGAAAAGTCCTACTTTTTTCTGAAATATCACAGATCTAATATAATATCATTTCAATAGGAATGAAATCTTGTGGCTCTAATGACATGTATTTTTGTTTGTTTGAAAAAATTGAGGTTTGCACTTCATAAACATATCATTTCATGAAATTTTCAACTTCCGCTATCTGCAGTAGGTACTCAATGCTCCTGCCATAATATCCTGCAGAATGTCATGATAATGAGTCAACCCAAAGCGTTTTGATGAAGCTGGCATACTTGCAGTCATGTCAGAGCAGTCAGACTGCATTACCCGGTATCTCGTGTTCAGTTTCAGTTAAAGTAAAGACAAATGTTACTGATTCTTTTTGACTGTTTCTAGGGTAAAATTAAAGATTTGAGGTAACACATGCACAGGACTTTGTAAATGAGTGGCCACAGAACTTCATGGCCAATGATGGCCAAGATATGGAATTCATGGCTCAAACAAATGGAATCACAGCTTGCAAATCCATAAATCCACAGCTTGAAAAATCCAGTCAGGGTTCAAAGAATAGATATTTTCTTCGCTAGCTTCCTCATTGAGCTGGTAGAGATACAACTGAGAAATAAGTCAAATTCAAAGTCTCAAATGAGATTTTTTACTCAAAAGCAATGCAGCTTTGTGACTTCTCCATAACATATTAGATATTATGTTAAAATTTTAATATAGGCATGATTTTTGGAAAAAAAATTAATAATTAGTACAGAACTTTCTTTGGAAATTCCTTGCATCCAATATTAATTTGGAATCTTTACAGACCTGTTAAAAGTGAAATTTTTCAACCAATTAACAAAAGCAATTGTGACATTTGAGTTATGTCTACTGACACAGACCATCTACCTACAACATTTAATCTTCTACACAAATGGGGTAACAGTGTGCTAACCCAGCATTTACAAAGCAATCAAAAAATGTAAAGTATCAAGGAAAGAAAAAGGCTAGAACCAAGAAGGATGTGGAGCTTGCAGAAAGTGGCATTATTATGGAACTTGCCTCTCACATGAACATTAATTTAGCCCTAAATCCACTCAAGAAGGATGCCACAAGGGTGATTGGTGAATGAATGCAACATCAGAGAAGTGTGCATTGAAGATTATTGATTAAGTCAGAGATTGAGCCTCAACTTTTTACAGAAGAAAAATGAATAATAGTAATGACAAATATGCACAATGCTGAGATATAATTACAATTTGCAGCAATCTTGGAGTGAAAGATGGAGGAAAGTAAGCCAGTTGACTTTCCTTTGTTGAAGATCTTCAGCATCACTCTTCAACGGATACCGGCACACGTACCGATTCAAAAAATTATCCCTCCAATGGAAAGATGGATTGACTGCAAGGGATGCATGCCAGGCAGCCAGACCAACTGTGCAGAGTGGATGAATATTGCAAGATCTTTGGCGACGCTTCAGTAGCAAAATTTACGCCTTCAGAAGATCTTGCCGACACATTTAGATTGAAATTCTTGCATTTAATATATTTGTCAGTCTTTGGCCAACTATTTTAAAAAAAGTAAGGTTTCCGGTACGTTGGATGGATCAGGATGCAGTGAAGCTTGTCCAGAAATCAGTTACAATGAGTTCCCGCCAAAAAAATGTAAACATAAAGTTTACGATTACGCAGTTGCAGACACATCAGAGCGGTCAGACTGCATTATCACATGTTCAGTTGACACTTGCTGTACAATCGGACAGTTTTTAGGGTGAAATTAGTTATTTGGGATAATACATGCATGCAACCTTGTAAATAAGTTCGTGGATTGTAAATAGTTTTTCATTACTTGGCGTTAATGGCTTTTCATTAAAAAATTACCCGGCGACGCATCTTAAAATCACCCGGCAACGCTTAGGGCTTAAAAACCCATATATTGGCAATGCTGCATCCACCCTCTGCACCCTGGCAGCCAATAGTGGCAGCCAGCCATGGCGACATAAAGGTGGACCCTGGACCGTGGGAGAGTTGGGGTAAGTGTGGCCTGTGTGAGGGGAAGAAGATGCTGCGGGATAGTAAGGCAGGGATACCCGGACATGTCTTACATTTTATTATTGTCAGTTCGACTCGCGTAGTCAATATACTCGCGTATATTGTCGACTAAAACAGTAGAACTATTTTAGCTTTCTAAAGTACGGCACATTTTTTTACCAACATAGTACGGCGCACCGCGCAGGTCGTTAAAATGACAAAATAAATTCCCGCGCACCTGGCACATCTTCCTGACCATGGCAAGCAGCTTGTGACTTGTGTCACGTTGTGTGCTGAAGCAGTGTTGGTTTAAAGTTCGTGTGGTGAGATAGGTCAATTGACTACAGCTGCTTAGGTGCCAGGATGACAGTATCTATAGCTTTTAGATGGTTGACGCTGGCTCCAGGGCTGATTTGAGCGTTAATTTGCTGGTCTACTCTACGGCTGCGCACCCGACTGCAACACTCTCTTCTGTCTTTCTTTCTTATTTATTCTTATAGGAGCACTGGAAACTAGTCCATAAAGCCCCTTGCCTAAACTGGGTTTGATTGGTACCTAACAGTCTAACAGCTCTGAAAGTGAAAATCTGGAACAAAGAGAGAACACACGCACAGAAAAGGAAAAATAAAAATAAATAAATAAAAAATAACTAATAAAAAAATAAAAATAAAAATCAATGCAAAAATTAAACATAGACAAACAATAAGGATAAATGAATGAAATAAATATAAGGTTTACTTAACAGAAAACAAAGAAAATTAAAAGGAACAAATAAATAAAATAAATACATATAGAAATAATAATAATAATCATAATAATAATAAATAAAAGAAAACAATAATATAATAACTAAACAAAAAATTATTGAACAGAAGAACAGTAAAATATAAAATGCAATAATGTAACATAGCATGGACGGCAAACCCGTTGAAGAGAACAAGAAACGGTAGAGCCCATAGACCATAGTGGTAAAGCAGAGAGTTTTTTAGACTCTCCCTCAACCTCAAGATCATTTTTGAGTCCTATAAGTAGACAAGCAAAGTATCATGGATACCAGCATTATCATACATAAGAAATTGGTTTAAATCTTGAGTAAATGAGGAGATTAAAAATGAACTGATTCTAAAAAATCTCTGGTTTGTCACTATGGTGGAGCCGTGGAACGAAGCAGAGCCATGGAACACGGCAGAGCTTGGCAGATCCGCGAAGCATATCTATACACACCTGCATCTTTATCTATACAGCGCATCATATCTATATACACATGGGCCTCCTCAGAGAGACGGCCCAACAACCAATTCAGCTTGTGCACAAAAAAATAATAATAAAAAAAGATTCAACTTCAAGAAATTCAAAATATAAAGGAATCATACAATTTCAAAAATTCAAAGGAATCAATACAAAGAAAGAAATGGAATAAAATAAAAATTCCCAGCCCAGTTAGTAGCAATAACCATGTCCTAGTCAGCGCCTCACATGGGGTTGTATAAGACTATAAGTTACTGACACTCTTCTTCTTCTTTAGTCGAAATTTGGAAGGAGCTTTGGAGACTTGTCCAAGGTAGCCCCTCAACCGGACGTTGGTGTTCAGGTGTCACACGTCTGTGGGAAAAACGACAGGGATAAGACACTGTAAAAAGCGGACTGGTTAA